ATTAATTTCCATATGAATCAATGTAAATCCAATTAATTTGTTCTAGACATTCCAAAATACAAAACTGAAAATACATTTTATACAGAATAAATATAGCATTTAATAGGAAAAACAATTAGAAATTAATATAAAATGAATATAAAAGATTAATATGATGGCCTCCAAAACAGAATTGGCATCTAACTGTTTTTGATTGATCCAAATTAATAATAACTGTTTAACGTCTTCAATTGTTTGTAATTTCTGTTTTGTTAGCACATTCACTCCTTTCGCTATATTAGCCTCCTTTTTTGCCACAATGTAACTTATTGTGGATGACATCTTCCTGTACATGCAGCTGATTTTAGCAATCTTAATCTGCTTGCATAGTTTTCAATGGTTTCCTTTGAATTGAATTGATTTTGTTCCTGGCTTTCTTCAAAGGGCTGCTGGCTTTGGAAAATTTCTGTTTCCATGATGAAGTTAAAAGGAAAGGAAAGAAATGGAATTGTTTGGCTAGATGTACAGGGTAATGCTCACACAACACCACACTAAGCAGGAAAACATGAATCACCTTTTGTTTTTGCAAAATTAGTAATGACGTCACGTAGGCATGCCAACGAAAACTGAGACAAATTTTTTATGGAAAAAATCAGCGATAACCAAAGTCAATGAAAACTGAGACATTACTTTACTTCAATCCCTTTCTGAAACAGTCTCTTCTTTCTATCGGATCCAATGGTATGGTGGCATTTGAATAGAAAAATTACACAATACAAAGTTACTGGCAAGCACAGAATGTTTTAAGTGGTTTTCAGAGGTGCCAAGTTTAAATATTTGGTCTGTTTTTTTGTGAAATTTGATTTGTTGACAGACTACTATTTGATATTTGGCTGTGAATGGTACAGTTTCTTAGAGATAACATTAGAAAAAATTATGATATCTTAAAAACATTTAAGCTATATTTTCAATTCCTGTCTATTTGACCAATGAATTTGTGCCATTTTATACCATCCAAGTATTGCAATAAATGTGACAATGGTAGGCTAAAATAACCAAACTATTTGGTTTTCATTTTAATATTTGTTATTTCATAGTATTTAATTTATATAACTACAAAGGTTATCTTACATTAGACTTTATTACACCAAGTGACCAATCTAACAAATTTTTTAAAAAATTTTATTCTTTTACTGTACACAATTTAAAGAATTTTTTAAAATGTGTTAGATTGGTCACTTGGTGTGATAAATCCTTATGTAAGATAACCTTTGTAGTTATATAAATTAAATACTATAATATAATAGAAGGTTAGAAGTATGAAATAATCTAATAAACTTAATGTTTGTTATTACTTTTTGCTCGGGCAATGCTGGGCTTATCTGCTAGTATATATGTACCGTAACATACATACTAGCCTGAAGTTCAGCCAGTTTCTGAATTAGTTAGCCATTTTGCACTTTGGCCAAGAAGAGTGGCCAATGTCCAATGTACAGTGATACCTCTGTTCGTCGATAATCCGTCCAAAAACAATTGGCAAAATCCTAAACCGATGAAAACCGAAGCAATTATTTTCATATGAATTAATGTAAATCCAATTAATTTGTTCTAGAAACTTCAAAATACATACCAGAAACACATTTTATAGAGAATAAATAGTGTTTAATACTGAAAACAATAAGAAATTAATATGAAATGAATATAAAAGTCTAATGTAAAGAATAAATGAATGTTTAACATGACATTCAAATGGCTGCTGGCTGTGGAAACTTTCATTGATCCGATGATGAAGCTACAAGGGAAAGAAACAATGGAATTGTTTGGCTTTTTTTAATCTCTGCCCTGTGGGCACTAAGAGGGCCTCTTTTAGCAAGCCCGTTATGGGTTCTGTCAGGCCCACAATGGGGCGGCAGCTGGGTGGTGAGTGACTGGGCCCAACATATCTGGACAGACCACTCCCGAAAAATTCTTGAGGATTTTTCGACCCATGCACATTAGATCCCAGAGCAGTAGGCTGCCACCTTTGACCACTCGGCCTTCCGGTTGTCATAGAAGAATTGTTTGGCTAAATGCAAGGGGAGGTAATTCTCACACAAGGAGAAACAACACCACACTGAGCAAGAAAATGCATGGGTCACTTTTTGTTTTTGCAAAATTAGCAGTGAGGTTACATGGGCACACCAATGAAATCCAAGGCAACCAATGAAAACCGAAAATTGACAATAAACGAATTCAAGATAGAAAAATTTAAGTTATGACAACAGTGGAAGCATTTGGGAAGCTGCATGTAAATAGGAACAATAGGGCATGTAGACCGAAAACCAAGGTATTACTGTACTTGAAATGACTAGTTTATAAGCTACTTTGGCCGGCCATTTCGCAAAGTGGTGGGAAATTTCTGGCCAAAATTTGATATGCTGATGCCAAGACTGTTTGGTGCCATGCACATGCTAGCAAGGAAGGTGCCACATTGTGACAATGATATTCCACATGTCTGCTGCTTTTTGGAGAAGGTCCTGCCTCTGTGACTTGTTCTTATTATTCTGACATAATGGTTTCATTGTGAGTACAGTATTCCTTGTATTTCTATAATATTCTATATGAATACTTTGAGTTCAAAGGTTAAGTTGTAGGGCACATAAAAATGTGTGTTGTGGGGTATATGTGATGACGCACATTGCTGGAAGGAATGTGCGTCACCTGAGCACTAATTATGCTCAGGTTAATAAATGATGCACAAATTATGCTCAGGTTAATAAATGTGCGTCACCCTTCACTAATTATGCTGAGGTTAATAAATGATGTTTGCTACAACATGTTTTTCTTCAAAGGAATGTATTAAATTAACAACAGAACACAGTTTACTGGGGCTGTATCCCATGTAACAATATTGCAGTTTCAAATATTCATAATTGCTATTCCATAGATTGTCTCATAGCTACCTACATGGGACAGATATGCTGGGTGAAGTTGGACTACACATAAATGCGAAACCATCATTTGATATGTAAATCAGGTTCTCTGATACTTTTGAATATGTTGCCGCAAATAATAGCAGGATCCTCATCAGAAACAAATATGGCATTTTTATAGAGGACATTAAATTGGCAAAAGCAAAGCAGAAAAAAAAAAGTGTTGACTATCATTGAAAAGAAAATATGATGTTATTGAAGTTGATGGCAAAGAAACACTTATTGTGCCAATAACAGGACACAATAGTGGTATTCTGTACTATGTGCATACAGAAGAATTTTTCAACATATTACACAATACCCATTTGAAAATTGGGCATGGATGGTCGCACAATTAAGTACAAAAATGTCACCAAAGAAGCCATTACATTGTACTGTACCTCCACTTATGCAAGCCATGTCAGACCAAATTGTCAAATCCCAAAAGAGTTCTAATTTCTAAAACTTTGATGTTTAAAGAATTTAATTCAAGATGCCAGGTAGATCTTACAGACATGCAAAGTAACCATGACGACAAGTACTAGTTTATACTCAATTATCAGGATCATTTAACCAAGTTTATATTATTGCAACCTCTGAAAAGCAAAAGAACAGAAGTTGCTTACCAGCTACTTGATATCTTCACACTATAGGTGCTCCAAGTGGGCTTAAATCAAATAATGGGAGAAAATTTGCAAATCAGGTTATAAATGAACTAAAGAACATATGGCCTGAACTGAAACTAGTACATGGAAAACCGAGGCATAACCAAAGCAAAGATTCTGTTGAACGTGCCAACCAGGATGTTCAGAATATGATGACGACATGGATGCAAGTAAATAAATCAACACATTGGGCTAAGGGGCTCTGATTTATTTAATTCATGAAGAACTGTTCTTTTTACCAAAGCGTTTAGCAGTTGCCTTATGAGGCCATGTTTGGCTGCAAAGCAAAAGTGGGGCTTAGAATCTCAAATCTGATCAGAAAGGTTGTAGATAATTTACTTATAAACAACCACGACTTTTTTCTTCAGACTTTGGCCATTCGCCCCATGCCATTTCGCAAACTGGTCAGCCAAATCTCAAAATCAAGAAATGATCGGACATTGGCCATTTTCCAATTTGGCCAGACATTTCCCACTTTTGCCGTAACATATATATATATTTAACACAAATAAAATAGAAATTATCTGTAAATATATATATTTTTAGTTACTAGAAGTTTTATGAAGGCTTTTTTACTATTTGTGCACATAAATGTATTATTTTTATTTTACTGCACTCTTAGAACCTATAACCGGTGTGTGATATTTAAAAAAAAAAAAAAAAAAGGATAAAGATCACCACAAATGTTTTTGAACCGCTGTGAGTTCTTCCTCAGGTGTGAAATTGAATTACTGATGGGACAGAGCAAACTGTTAAAGGAAGGTCACGATACTTCAACTAGACAAACACACGTGTCTCATGTAACACCTTCTAATTGTTTCTTGAATTTCCTTTAACAGTTTGCTCTGTCCCATCGGTAATTCAGTTTCAAACCTGAAGAAGAACTCACAGCAGTTCAAAAACGTTTGTGGTGATCTTTATCCCTTTTTTTTATATATATATATATATATATCACATTGGTTATAGGTTTTAAGAGTGTAGTATTTAACACATCCTGGTGTTTTGTAGTTAGTATAGTGTATTTTTATTTTACATATACAATTTATTATGGGAACATATTTTTCCAAAGTCAAATAAATTACAGTACAATCACTCTCACATTCTCTCAAATGGATTTTTTATTATATATTATAAAAATTTAATTATAAGGATTGAATTTAAATATAATAAATGAATATTCCATATAAAATATAGTCAGATTTAAATTATATATGTATAAGTTTTTAATGAAATTTATTCTATTTTCTTCGTATTACAGAGAAACTATTAAAATTTCAAATAGAATTAAAATTTGATGTTAACATTGCCTAACATAATTTTTATAATTTTAATCAACAAATTTAAATAGAAAAATATGCATTCATACTTTCATTTTTAAAAAATATAATTTCTAAAATTTGTTTAGGTAAATACCTTGAAAGACCAAGGAAATGCTGCATTAAATGCTGGAAAACTTGATGATGCTGTAGCATTTTATACTGATGCTATTAAGTTAGATCCATCCAATCATGTCCTCTACAGTAATCGCAGTGCTGCATATGCAAAAGCAGAAAAATTTAAAGAAGCATTAGATGATGCAGAAAAAACTATAAGTTGTAAACCAGATTGGAGTAAGGTCTGTATATTGAATATTTATAGTATTATATATTGTCTTATATTTAGTGATTGGAAGAAATTATATACAGTAGTATTGTACAGGATTGATATATATGTAGGCTATTTTATTTTTTCAAGCTCCGATGGTCCATAAAAAAAAAAGACAAGTGTAAATAACAAAATGAATTTATTACCAAAAGTTAGGTACAAACATGGTTACTTTTTAACATAATCACTGTGAAGATTGAGGCATTTATCATATCTGTGGATGAGCTTTTCCATATCCTTGTTATAGAATGTTGCCGCCAATAACTTGAGATGGGCCCTAACTTTTTTTTTTTTTTAAGATTATCATTAGTCTTGAACCTCTGCCCTCCTAGCCACTTTTCCTGTTCAGGAAAGAGGTGGAATTCGCTCAGCACTAAATTGGGGCTATATGCTGCGTGTTTAAAGGTGGTGAAGAATCTTTCAGACTTCCACCCAGCTTAAAACTTTTTAATGTGTGAAGACTTCCACCTCTTTCCTGAACTGAAAACGGGGCTAGCAGGGCAGAGGTTTGAGACTAATGAACTAATGATGATCTTCAAAACAACATTGTTAAAGCCATCTCAATTCACTGGTGGCAACATTCTATGATAAGGGGATGGAAAAGCTTGTCCACAGATAAGACAAATTCCTCAATCTTCATGGTGATTATGTCGAAAAGTAACCATATTTGTACCTAACTTTTGGTAACAAATTCATTTTGTTACTTACACTTGTCTGTTTTCTGGACCATCAGAACTTTAAAAAAACAGCTCTTGTATGTATATACAGTAGTGTTCACTTATAACAAACCTGCTAATAACAAACTCTTGACTATAACTAATCAATTTTAAAAGTATGAATGACACACTCATAAGAGCAGTGCAATTTTTTATTTATTTTTTTGGCTACAACAAACCTGTATATAACAAAGAATATTTGGATTTAAAAAAATGTAAGTTATTGTTTATAACAGATTATGCATACAAAGAATACTCTTGAGATTTTACTAGGATTTTTAAATAAAAACTTTCCTGTAACATAATGGGAGTGACATGAAAGGATTAACTATTGTAACTAATTTCAATGTACACATTTATCACTAATGCACATTAATTTCGATGCACACAACAAATTTTTCATTATAAATTTAAGTTTTTATTCTCTTTCTGTAAGCTATCAGGTTTCTTATTTCACTAAGGTATTTTCTGAGGTTCATTTACCTAGCCATTAACAATAAACTTAGAAATTTACACTGTCAAGGATTTTCATTTGTTAGTGCTGTAATCTTAAATGTTATTTTTGATCTGTTATTAACAGTTAAATGATTTTGTTTGATTTCTCACCCATTTAACTCTTGGAAATTGAAAGTATGCTTTAGATTGGTTAGAAAATTTCAACTGTAAATACAGTATTTCAAATTTGAATTTCAAAATCAAGCTGTCTCAAAATTTAAAATTTATGCTGTTATCAGTTAGAAACATTCTGTTTACTAATGTTGGTCATAAAGAATAATGAACTGTGTGTAATGTTGAGGCATATCGATTCTTGCTATTGCTAAGTTGGAATTACAAAGTGCTGTGCTTAAGTCCTTGTGAAATATGACGACTCAAAGTGCTAATCAGTGTAAACAGGAACGTAAGTCATTTATGTTACAGACTAAATATGAAATTAATAAAAGGTTGAAAAGCAGTGTAAAGCAAAGCAAATTATGTAAAGAAATGAATAACTAAATTGACAATTGATACCATTTGGAAGGAAAAAGACAAACTTGCAAGTGTTCAAATGTGATAATTCAAAAAAACTTAGAAAATTAGCATATGATGAATTAGATAAAGTATTGTCAAAATGGTTTTCTCAACAGAGAGTTAAGTTCTGGTGCTATCAGTGGTGCTGTATTGCAGTCAAAAATGGAACAGTTAGAATCAAATTGGAAAAGAGTACTGAGTTTAAATGCAGTAGAAGTTGAATTGAGAGATTTAAAAAAAAAAAAAAAAAAACATGTATTGGAAGCCAAAAAATTGTTGGAGAAGTGGCTGCAGTAAATATGGACATGGTAGAAGACTAGTTGCAAAACAAGTGACCCAAAAGAGAAAATTTTCAAGATTTTGATATCTAATCCAGATGAAATGAGTCTGTTTTATAAGCTTACACCAAATAGGATACTAAAATTCAAAGGAGAAAGCTGTGCAGGAGGAAAATTATCTAAAGAAAGAATTACTATTCTACTAGCAGCAAATCTTGTGGGAATGGAAAAGAGGAAATTGTTAGTAATCAGCAAATGAAAAATCCAAGATGTTTCAAAAATTGATGGCTACCAGTAAACTACAAATCTAACCAAAAAGCTTGGATGACCTCTAACATTTTCTGTGATATATTGTGAGAATGGGATGAAGAATTGAGAAAAAAGAAATGAAAAATTTTATTATTGATTGACAACTGTCCGACACATCCTGACATCAAGAATTTATGTTGCATTACACTGGTGCTCATGCTGCCTAATATACATTCAAAACTACAGTCTTTATATCAAGGGGTTATACACAGATTTAAAAAGAATTCTCCTTCTAATAGCAAAGAATTGTTTTCTATAAATCTTGATACAATTGATACAATAAACTTTGTCCATATGGCATGGAAAAATGTATCAGTGCAAACAATAGCAAATTGTTTTCAACATGCTTGCTTTCTACAAACTAATGGAGAAGACTTTGATTTAGGTGACGACATTCCAATCAATGAACTTTTTAAAAGTAAACTTACAAATGAAACAAAAGATGTTCAAGATGTGCTCCCTCTGCAGATGCATTTTCTGACAATGATTTTGAAGAATATGTCAGAGTTGATGACAATATTGTATGTAGAACAATGTAAACAATGTTATAAATAGAAAACTTTTGACTGATGATGATATAGCTTCAGTGTCTTTCAAAAATAATGAAATTAGTTAGGATGATGATGATGATACAACTTACACAGATAGTGTCGATGCTCTGATATTGCCAATTTCTGAAGTTTTGCAAAACACTATTATTATTTGAGAGTTTTTCTGAGGTGAAATTGTGTATTACAGAATGCTGTGCAACTAGCAAAAATAGACAAACAAAAATAACTGACTTTTTTAAGCAGCCATGTGCATTCATATTGATGTTTTAACATGCAACTTCCTATGTAATAATTTGTTACATTTTATTTTTGAGACATTAAACTTTGGCTGTTCAAAATTAGACTAAGTTTTATTTTTTATCTGATATAATGAACATTGGTTATAAACAGACACTATCATATATATATTTGTTTTTGTAGAGGATTGGGATTTGTACTGTACTCTACATGCATCCAATGGATTGTACAAAGATAATTCTGATCATCAATACACACTATTTTACTACATATACTGAATTTTATAATATTTTATTATGAAAATCTGTGTGTGTTTATGGTATACATACAGTAAAAATATAAGTAAAATGTTCTAAGCATATTTTACCATTTTTCTATTTATTGTAAATTGTTGCATATCTAGGCAGACATTTGAAAATACTTGGGTGGAACACAAATTTATGCATAATTTTTTTTTATGTGCCACTTCTGGACTGCAGTTCCTGCAAGACAAGAGTATCAAGTATAATTAACTTAATGATTCAGTTCTTAAATATTTTTGTCATTATACATTTAACTTTTAAAATATACATTCAATGTTCAGAAAATGGATTAATTTGTTATAAAGATTTTGTTAATTAACTGTAAATTTGAGTTTTTTTAATGTCCAATATGAACACTAATAAAAATGAACTGAAGTATGAAAACTTCTGAGATTTTTCAGCAAAAGTATTTTTATTAGTTTTAAATATTTCTTATCAAACACCTTCAAATATCTGTAACACATTCAATTTTAAATTAAAATGCTTATGATATTCTTTAATTGAGCAGAGCTCTGCATAAGTCAGAAAGTGTTTTGTCTGTGATCATAGATTAAAACAATTGCACAACCACTAAATATGATTTTTTGCAAATATAGTAAAGCATATTCAAAACAGAAACCTGCCTAAATGGGAAAAATTCTTAGGAATGCAGTGACTATCTGATAACAAGAAACCTGTTCAAAATGGAAACTTGTCAGACTGGAAAAAATATTTGATACCATAAGAGTCCAGTTTACATAGGTTTTACTGTATGTACAACTTGGTAAGGTTGGTGTTGTGATGAAGGTGGAATTTTTAAATTTGATTTGTAGGCTGAGGTACTAAAGGTCAAAATGTGCCATGTCTCTGGGCTGATTGCTGGTTGTGTGTTACATGTTAATCAAGTTTCCAATTGCTGTCAATTTACATTGATCTCTACAACAATTTTTTTTAATCTTAGATTTACAGTAGAGCGTCATTTATCTGAATCAATTGGGGAATGGGGTTGTTCATATAACTGATTATGTATGAAAAAATATAACCTATCCCACGTTGAAATTTTTCTCCGTTGCATGTCGCTTCGCGTTGAATTTTCATCGATGTTAAGCCTAACAAAAACTTTTTAAAATAATAATTGTGGCTATTGTATCATTAAAAATTATTTTTTTATTTTGTACAAATAAAATAAATATATTGAAAAATATAAAAACAAAAAAATATATACTTTAGAAGTTGATCTATTATCAAAAACGTTCAATTCAATACGACACACAGTCCTCAGGAAAACATCACACACCAACAAAAAAAAATATTGGAGTAGCCCAAGATATAGCCAAAGATTGCAGTGCCACAGCACTAGCGAAAATTTAAGTTTGCCGACTGGAATGCTTTCGGATAAAAGATGCTCTACTGTAAATCTGTTTTAAAATGCTTTTTTACAGTTTTAGCTTTCTACATTGCAGAGCTCAGTTTTCTTTCTCTAGAAAATACCTAATGTATGTAACCTGGAAATGATTCGTAAAGCAAATGAAAACATTTGTTTTCAGCATAAATGTTTATTGTTAAACTCAGTGCAAACTCTAGTTCATTT